GAAGGAACTGTAACTCAGAGGCATAATCCCTCTCTTCTTCCCCTGTTGCTTTGAAGACAAGTGGTTATTAAATCACTTCACTCCTTTTCAGGGTGCATCTGCTGGTGCCTGACCATTTCCACTAGCTGGTGTAGTGGAGCACAGCTATGGCACTCCCCAATTCCTCCAGACCATTTGATTGTGAGGGGAAGTATGGAGTCCCTGCTCTCACGCACGTAGTGGTCTTTATTCCTTCCTACTCCCCTATGTGGCCTGGTGAGGACTAGTGACAATCTAACCCATAATCAGCAGCCATGTATTTAGGTTTGTCTTTCAACTAGCAGCGCAAGCTTTTTTACACATAATTCAGCGAATGAGGCATTTCACTGTGGAGTTACCTCAGCTGAACACAGACATGTCCCTGTGTTCCTGAGTTGCAGTGCAGCCGGTGAGGCAGTTAACTATGAAGGTAACTGAGCTACAAATGCTCCCAAACTTCTGTTAGTCTTAAAGTTGCCACAGGACCCTCTGTTGCTTTTTTCTGAGCTACAAACTTAGACAGCTTACATATGCAAGCAATTTTTCACTATTGTTTTGTTATACTTAATCTATAGTATATATTGTGCAAGTCCAGCTTTCTGTATATTTTTCATATAAGTGACTAATTAGCTCTGACTGGCACACACACTAGTATGGTGTACTGCAAGAAGCTATACATGTACTGCAAGAAGTAAATGATCACATAATTAAAGTCAGTGGCCAAATCTTCTGTTAGTGTAAACCACTCTTAGCTCCACTGACCACACCAATTTACAACACCCAAGGAACTAACCTTATATCATGATGCATATGTAAAAGGGATCAGAGTTAAGGTAGGGCTGAATACTATAACCTTGACGTCTGCATTTTTTAAAATTCTGATTACTTAATCTGCTTAATATAATTTTTATATGGAATTTTCTATGTAGAGGCAAAACATAAAAAGAAGTTTTGCTTTTGACAAGTTTGAAGCTCTGCTGGCTTGCAAATAATTGGCAATAGCATGTGTAAATGCTATAATCTGGAAGTGTTTGGATAGCCACTACCAGAACTCCCTGTCTCACTCATTAGAAGGTCTGCAGGAGGGAACCTCTTTCCTGGGCACTTCAGGAAATTCACAGGAGATAATTTCTCTCTTGTAAATCTTTGTGGAACTTTTAAGGTGCATCAGAATGGGCTTCCCTCCTGCACATCTTAAAAAGTGGGTGAGATCCCTCTTTCAACCCCTGGCAGTCTTTATAATAATTTAAAAGCAGGCTTAATCAAAAGTGATACAAGCTACAAAAGTGAGATCTTGGAATAGTGTTGCCGTTTTCATAATATAATAAAAATACTGTAATGATAAATAATAATTAATAAATAGTGTGTCATAAAAACAAATTGGAAGATCACTCTTCCAAGATCTCACTTTTGTAGCTTGTATCATTTTGATTAAGCCTGTTATAAGACAATGGTCCTATCAGAGGCACCAGTAGAAAAAAGGGGTGCAGGGGCAAAGCCCCCATGCACCCCAGGGCCTGGGGGGGCACCACCAGAAAAGTGGGGAGGTCCGCGGGGGCCACTGGAAAAAAGGGGAGGGACCTGCAGGGGGCGGGAGGGGCGCTGACACGGGGGTGGCACATGACCCTCATCACCCCCCCGTACTGGCGCCTCTGACGCCTATGTTTCATTGAGGAGTATCACATGTGAAACAACATGAAGATATTTAAGAAGCCATCTCAAATTGTTCTGCCTACTCAAGCATTCAGGTCTTGATCAGTACAGGCAAACAATGCACTTTACAACAAAGCTTAAACTTGTTCTTCATAATAATTAAAAAAAAAACCACTAGCAGCCTATTTAATTTTACCCTGGAGTTTTGATAACTGTTCATGTAGATGATTTAAGTGAGTACCACCCATTTTGCTGTGTTACAGTAGACTTCCAAGTGTACCCTCTAAAAATGGTTACTGCCTATTCACATTACACTCAGTCCAGCTTCTTGATTGCTTTTAGAAATGGGAGGTGAAATACAATGACAAAACTCACTGCTCTTACTTTATAGATTTTTATTTATTTATTTTTGTAAAATATCATGGCCTGAGGGAAGGAGGGCAGTATACATATTGAAGTTTGCTTTGAGCAGCAAAATGCCTAAGGCCAGTCCTGCTCATAATACTACTGTAATATTTCATTGCCATGAGCACTGCTTCATTATAGTAGCTTGTCCTATCATATTTGCCTATGACCCGTTAATTTTATTTGTTGATTCTTATTTTTTGGCATTAATGAGACACTGTACAAGTTCAGAAACAGTTGCAAACTACTCTTTGCTTTAATGAATTTAGATGTTTTGGACCCAATTTTCCTTTCATTTATAGCAGTGTAAATCCAGAGTAACTTCGCTTATTTTGGTGGAATTACTCTGATTTATACCACTGTGAATCAGAGCAGAATTTCATCTAGTGGGCCAAATTCTGTCCTCCTTTATACCTATGTAGCCTTACCGATGTCACCATTCTGTGGGCTTTGTCTTGTTTGTGCCTTGCCTATTATTATGTCTCTGCTGTTGTTGTTTCTGTGTTGACTGTTTTTTGTGTAACGATGTCATTGAGATGTACTAGAAGGCAACATTTGCTCCATTGAATTTAATGTATCATTAGAATTCTGCAGGAATTGGATTTTGTTAGTGATGAATAAGGTCTCTTATTTATTGAAAAATATCACACATATACATAAATTATGCATTTAATCTTTTAAAAGTAGCTATTGTTTCAAGAATCATACTATACTATTAAATGGAGTACGTGGAAGACCACCAGAAATTGTTTCACTGTTTCTAATATATTTTCTTTTGTCTGTTTCTGAAGCCACTTCCTGTTTCCATTTCTTCAGGGTAGAGAGAGAAAAAACACACCTTATCTGGTAACTTGTACCACTAAAGTTCCCAGTCTCCATGGAAACCTCTGTGGTGCTCCATAGTATTGTAATATTTCAATACGTCACAGGATAAATGGAGAGTTGGTTCTGCATCTTGACTCGTTCAGTTAAAAATTGCCTGTGGAGTCACTTGAAATTATTTTTATTATTTCTGGGTTGTGCTCTTCATTTGTGGGGACTAAAGAACAAACCAAATGTCAATTTAATTTATTTGAGACCAAGTCCTCCATATCTTGTGCACCCAAACTTTCCCTCTGTGCTAGTTTCTGATCTACACTGACATAAATTTGGAGTAACTCACTGATCTCAGTGGAGTTACTATGGATTTACGACAGCATAACTGAAAGCCTAACAATATAATTATACACCTCTACCCCCATATAACGCGGTCCTCCGGAACCAAAAAATCTTACCGCGCTATAGGTGAGATCACGTTATATCGAACTTGCTTTGGCCCCCTGCTCCTTGTCCCCTGACCGCCCCCTCCACAGACCCCCATCCCTAATCACCCTCAGGACCCCACCCCCTATCCAACACCCCCGCTCCCTATCCCCTGACTGCCCCGCCCCCTGACAGGCACTCACCGGCAGCGGCGGGAAGCGGAGCAGCCCGGCCCCAGGCCGCTCCACTCCTCCAGCTCCCAGCCGTGGCGCTCCGCTTCCCGCCGCTGCCGGTGAGTACGGGGGGCCTCCTTTCCCCAACCTCCCCGCACTCACCGGTGGCGGGAAGCAGAGTGCCCCGGGGCTGGGAGCTAATGCGCTGATCTGCAGGAGCGCTGCTTTACCGCGTTGCATGCGAACCCGTGTTATATCGGCTCACGTTATATCGGGGTAGAGGTGTATATCATACTGACTTTAATCGGATCTTGAGTTATGCAAGGAAGGTAAGATCAGGCCCCTGCTCTATAATTTATGTAAGCAAAACATCTCAAAGATCACGGAATCTAAATATTTTTTCATTATTTTCTTCTTTCACCCTTGTCCCATCAATACAAAAAATAATAAATCCCAAGATTACCATTCTTTCTGCAGAGAAAACCAATTGTAATGTGATTTATCTTTTATTTATTATTTCCTTTTTATTAAAAGCTTTATAATTTTGAACACAAAGACACAATCTACTTGTGGATCTGGGCCAAAGTGACAAACAAGGCAAATTATAGTCAACACACATACATTGCATAGATAAGTACAAAAACCAGAAAGATATAAGCAGTACACACACAGAGTGTGTTTTATTTTATATGTGCATTTTATATTTAAACTTATTGAAATGCTGTTATTTTACTGAAAACCACATGAAGGACACATTGAAACGCAATTGTGAAAATATGGCTATGGTCCAAATTTGTTATAAAACTGTTTTATTTAAAAAAAAATCATGATCTAAATCGTGCTCCAAGCCCTCCATGTGTAGCTCTCATCCCTCCCACGTGGGAGAAAGGGGTACCATTCACCTCTGCAATACCATCCCTGCTTCCTGAAACCCAGGAATGTGGGGGGGAGTGGAGTAGGCAGGGCTATCCTGAGACTGGCTAAAAGAGATGAACATCATAATCCCACAGATTTTCTCGTGGAAAAGCAGTACGTAGAGGTGGTCAAAAAAAAATTAGAGCTTCAAAAATGTAAATTTTCAAAATATTTCAATACAAAAAATAAAGAAGAAACTTTGAAAAAAATGTTTGTAAAATCCCCCTCCCCCATTTTTGGAACTATAGAGCTGGTTGACACTTTGTGACTTTTCAAAATGTTGAAAATGCAAAACAAATTCAGAAATATTTGTGCAACATTTTTTCATTTTTTTACCAGCTCTAGCAACATAGATCTAGCCGGAGGCTCTCTTACCTATTTATTTGTAGAAGTGGAGTTAAGGTTGTGGCTGAATAATACTGCCCTGTGGTCCCCATACTGTTCCTGTATGCAGAAACCCCAACAAATGCTGGAAAATAGGTTGGGGAATTAGTTTAATCTAAACTGTTAAAAAATAAAAACAAATAACTATTACAAACCTGTACCTGTTTTCTGTGCATACTGAAAGCATTTATTTCGTTTGTTTCAGAATACTGTGGGGAAAATGTGCACCACTCAAGAAGATATTGGATATGATTTTGAAGATGATTCAAAAGATAAGACGAAGACACTTAAGCCTAATCCAAACATTGATGGCGGATGGGCTTGGATGATTGTGCTTTCTTCCTTCCTTGTACATATACTCATCATGGGGTCACAAATGGCCCTTGGAATACTTAACATGGAATGGCTTGAAGAATTCAGTCAAAGTCGAGGCTTGACTGCATGGGTTAGCTCCCTTAGCATGGGTATTACATTGATCGTAGGTATGTTCCAGTATAATTATATTGCAAAACTGTATAGGTTTAACATAGTATTCTCCCCCCATGCCAAGTATTTTCTTGCACTATTCAAATATGGTAACTGAGTAGGCCATAGTGTTCTTGGACTGTAGTTTTAAAGTCACGAGGCCAAATTCAGTTGTCTACCATAGCAACTGATTTGGGCTGTGGGGCTAAAAATAGCCCCGTAGACATTCCCACTCGGGTTGGAGTCCAGGCTTCAAGCCCCTTCTTCTGGAACTTGGGCTCCAGGCCGAGCTCTAAGGTCTTCACTGCTACTCTTAGCCCTGCAGCCCAAGCCACGCAAGCCTGAGTCAATTGACCTTGGGTCTAAGACTTGGCACCACAGGCTTTTCTTTGCAGTGTAGACATACGCTGGCATGTGAGCCATGTAGTCAGAGGGAGGGAGGGAGTAGCAGTGACGCTGGGGGGAAACAACAGTGAGGCGAGGAGGAAGAGCAGTAGTTAGTCATGTAACATATATCTGAGTGGTGCCAGCTAACTGCCTGTTGGGTTGGTCTGGGCTGAATCAGCTGGCAGAAGGATCAGGAGTGGGAGAAAAATAATAGTCCCTCCAAAAAGCTTGGAATCTGTCTTAGAGTCTACTTGGGAGGTCGAGAGGTAAGGCTGGAAGGAACAGAATTAGGGACTGATTCTTCACTATCTGATGCTTTGTGCTGTCATTTACACATGTGCAAAGTCTTATACCCACTTTACACAAGTGTAAAAGTTAGCACAAGGTGCAAGGCAGTGTAGAATCATATTTAGAGTCTGTCTGAGGTGTGTACCACTAGAAAGAACAGCCTGCCTGGAAGAGGGGAGGCTTGGAGAAGATGGAAGAGTCCCTAAAAGACCCCAAAATAGTGTAGCTGGGTCCCATTAAGTCTTAGTTCAACCCAGAAAAAACTGGTATATTCTCTGCTCGATGTAAGGTGAAATGTCTGTCGATATTGTTGGAGTTAGGTGTACACATCCTACATGATTAAACTCTGTGCAATCTCAGTTACTTCAATGGGGTGCCAAGGAGTCCAAGTCAGGGCAGGATTTGACCAAACCCCACAGAGGGCAAGGTAAATCTTGAATCATGCTAGGACAGTCCACGTTTCCCTGTATCTTCCTAATACTCAGAAACTGTAGTTTATTTTTGGTCTTCAAGAATGAAAGGCAAACAACTAACTAAAATATTTTTTAGTTGAAATATTGTCAATCATTAATAATTAACAATGAATTTATAATTCATTGTTACAATAACAATTTGGGATAAAATTAAGTTCCAAGGTCACAAAGGCTTATAATAGTTAAAATGTCATTAAAATCACTAACGCTCTCAGAGCAGCTTCAACCACTTATCCTCTGTGCTTATTTACATATTTCTTTGTCAGAGTTTTACAGACAGGCCTCTTATTTTCAGCTGAGTGGTGGGATGCACCACCTGCCTCTGCAAAAGTTGATACCATCACTAATACTTAAATCAGTGCAGGCAATGCTGCTCTCTTTGCTATTTAAAGGATAGATAGATAGATAGATAGATAGATAGATAGATAGATAGATATTGACTTTCAGAGATCTGTACAGTGACTAAGCTAATCCAGATCAACAGGGTTGCAGAAGCAATTCCAGTTCTTCTCTACCTGCCAGGTGTATTTGTCTGTTGCATGTATGCCTGAGAGAAAGCTTTCCAGATCTGCACTCCCAGGGATATAAGGTGCCATATTTTGGCTGTTAAACAGACCACATTTATTTGTTCCCCCTTCACCTGAGTGTAAATAGATTATCCTGTAGTACCTGTCATAGGCTCTGTGACACATTTATAAGGGTGGTTAAATAACAGCATCAAATGGGATCAACAGGACAAAGTGCCATGATAGATTAAACAGAAAGTTCTATGTAATCACAATCCATAACAAGCAGTGCAGGGCCATCCACTGAGTCTGAATCACTAACATCAACAGTTTAGGATCAATATTAGAAGACACAGTAGCAATTTAAAAGACTCTGACATCCTGCTGAATCTTATAATTTTGTTAGGTTCTCAGGTACCTAGGTAGAATAAAGGCACAATTTTGTTAAATCAAATGCAGGAATCACATTAAAAAAGCAAAACATACATCTCATAAGCAAAGGAACAGGATGTTTATGTGCAGTAATATCAACCACTGCACAAGATACAAATCTTACTTCATGCCTACTAAATACATAGCAGAGGACATTCTACAGATATGCATGCCCCTGAATGTGACAAAAGACTTATACTGTGGATGTTGTTTTCACTGTACATGGTGGAGTTCCTTCACCATGGTATTTGACAGTGGTTCATAGACTACTGTCATCTGCCTCCTCACTAAGTTTGCTGGGTGTCATGATGCTTGACATTTCTGAAAGTTGACGTGAGGATCAAGGATAGTTTAGAGTGAAACATCTGGGAAATGGATTACATCATTCACAAGTTTCCCAAATTTACAAGGTGTTGAGGGATGTACAGTATCCTTCAAAGAATGACCAGAATCAGCTTGATATGATTGGTTGCTAAATTATACTCTGTGACTTACCACTGGCAAATCCATGTGAGTAGGCATCTAGCTACTCAAATGTGCTGCATTGGCAGTGGAGGTATACAGGGGTGTTGTAGCTGGCAGGCCCTAGATTTTAAGTGTCAGGGAGCTATTGAAAGGGTGTTCCGGAGGGCTCAAGAGTTTAGAATTAATTTTCCCTGCTGTCCAAAAGAGCCCATCTGTTGATCTTTAAGGCATGGAACAAGGCCCATCTTTTCTCAAGAATTTAGTTAATGGGGAATGGACCGATTATGTTATTAAATTCTATACATGCACCTAAGTCATAATAGAGTACATTTTATACATCAGTAAATAAATAAATAAATAAAAGTATCTCCACCTCTCCAGAGGCTGTGAAATAGCAACAAATCAAACTAAAGGGTGGATCTTTACTGTAAGATTTGGCCTTCATTTTCACACATTTTGAGACAGCACAATGTTTCTCAGCTGTACTGGATAAAATGTTTCATTTCAGCTGGATCATCACACCTCTGGGAGAGAGAAAGCCAATGTGAATGTGGTCCCTGAGTTGAGCAAATCCTTCTTTAGAGCATGGAAGCAGACATTGCAACAGACAAATTAGTTAGTCTTCTGCTTAACTCACATCTTGCCTAATGAATCCCCTGAGGAATGTAGATTCAGTGGCTAGAATCTTCATTCCACCTGAGAGTACAGTGTGGGGGGAGGGGAATACTGCAGGTAGAGGGAGGCAGTTGCCGTTCCCTCATCCCAGAGGAGCAGGGGTTGGGGAGAGTAGCTGGGTCAGGGAAGCAGCTACACCATCACTGCGGACTTTCTTCTAGCAGAGAATTACTGAGGGGGAATTCTTTGCTGACCGTTTTTCGTTAATTTGGTTGCAGCAGCATGAAGTGGATTTAGGAGCAGGATTCTGTGGTCTACTAAGCGTTTGCATTATCATAAGCCACTGCAGGTGAAATAAAGAACTTTGAATTCAGGTATTGGCAGAGTTATTAGCCAAGGGCCTAGAGGGGTTAACTGAATGACATTTTTGAGGGCCTAAAGGGGTTAACAGGAAAAAAATAATCCTTTGAATTGCATTTAACAATTTCAATTACACTGTTTCATATTTTGTTTGAAAATGATAATTAAGGGTTTTAATAAGTTTCACAGTAAGGGCTTTACACAAACCTTTTAGCAAATTCTTCTTCATGTTCTGTGACAGGTCCTTTCATTGGTTTATTCATTAACACATGTGGGTGCCGCAAGACAGCAATAACTGGCGGGATCTTGAATGCCCTAGGCTGGGTATTGAGTGCCTATGCCTCAAATGTACATTACCTCTTCATTACATTTGGCGTGACAGCTGGTAAGCAATATTTATATTTGGAAATTCTTTTAAATAGTGTCAGTGTCTTCTGGCAGTCCATTTGCTGAGAACATGAGAGAAGCTAAGATCGTTCTTGGGTCATTTTAATATTTGATTTTTTTTAAACTTCTGATAAAGTGATTTTAGGTGGGGAAATGCCATTTAACAATTTTTCTTTTAGTTTATTCAGCTTGCACAGTCAGACTAATGTTATTGTGCTATAGTTTTAGACATAATAGGCAAGGTTCTGCTCTCACTTTGAGGTCAGTGGAGTTATTCCAAATTAATACTGATGCATGTGATAGATTGTAGTCCAATGGGCCTGATTTTTATTCCACACCATTTTTACATTAGTGTAACTCCATTGTCTTTAACAGAATTATACCAGTGAAAGTGAGAGCAACATCAGATCAAATGGCTATTTTTGTCATGCAAGTTCTATCATACAGCATGTGAAGATGTTTTGTCAGTAGTGGGATAGCATAGAGGTCACCCAGCTATGCCACCTTTCAGTCAGGGATGGCAGCACAGGCTGGTCCTGCGTTGGTTTATAAACAAGTCCAGAAAGACCTTTTTTAATCAGAGGGCACCCCCTCTTCCAAGGGTCTCATTTATTAGTAACAGTCATAAGCATAACTAGGACCTTACTCAGATACAGCGGGGGCATTTGTCATCTCAGGCTCAGTCCAGCTAGTTCCTTCCTTCAAGACACTCTTCTTTCCTGTGCCTGGAAAGAGTTTCTTATTTTGTTCTGGAACCTTTCCCGGTTCCTTCTTTGGATTCCTCCTTTTCTGTGCTTCTTTAAGCAGGAGTCCCCAACTTGGAACTGCGCTGTATTCCCCCCCCCCCCTCCTTAAACTGAAGTTCCTCCCCAGCTCTCCTCTCTGAAAGTGGGTTCTTTTAATCAAATTGTCTGGTCCTTCTTAAGGTGGAGCCCTCAGTTCTTCTCTCTGGAGCTGAGTTGTGGGTTAGTCAGCTGTAGGGCCTTTGCCAGCTTCTCCCTCAGCTGGCACTTTCCATTAATTAGCTCTCTAGGTGCTCCACAGATCAGCCTTTCCCTACTGATATCTCCTGGTGTCTGCTCTGATATGAGGGAGGAGACTACCTTTATGCTGGTTCCCTTCCCCCAGTTTATCCGCAATTTGTTGGGGGAGAGGGGAGCTCTGCCCCACCCTCTCTGAAAGACTCCTGGTCCTGGGCTCTTAAAGAGACAGTGATGGGATTTCCTCCCAAGCGCCACTCATATATATATATATATATATATATAAAACACACACACACACACACACTTTATATCTATAGATATAGATATATCTACATGGGCTGACCTCTAGGCACAACTGCCTTTAAAGGGCAGACACAGCGCTATCACAAAGTTTCCCCCTCAAGAGCCAATCTATATCCAAAATGTAGACTCGATCAAAGTTATCATTTAGCCATGTTCCCCGAACAGGGAGGCACTTTTTGTTTAGCTGCTACCAGGAAGTCAACCAGTATGCTTGGCAATATCTTTATCATGGGAACAGTCCTTGGCAATAGCCTTATCTTCATCAGAAAAATGTAAGTAACCAGGATCTGAGGTTCTCTCTGTTGTAGGTAGCCCATAGGGTGCACGTGGTCATCCATAGTCCATGGCACGTCATAATTTACATCACGCACCTGTGTACCTGGATGGTAGAATCTCTTTGCCACCTCCTGTCTTGTTAACAGAACTGGTATTTCACCACAAATAAACTTTTCTGTGGTAGTGGCCTCCTGATCTTCTGATCTTCTGGAGAGGAGTCTCCCTGGATGCACACATCCAAGTTAAGGATATCTCTGTTCAGGTTCAGATCCCTTTCAGGGTTTCCAAAAAACAGAGATTGCAGTGTTTTGCCCACAGCTTATAATATCTTACTTAGCAACACCCACTTCTGTTCTTTCTTCAGCCACACTATTTTATGGAGGATATTCAATATATGAAAACCACCCTTATCTTCCTCCTCCTTCTTTGGGGTACAGCTCTTTGGTTATTTTAGCAAGGGTGTGGTTGTGGCTTTGCCTTGTAGCTTTGTCACTGTCCCATGTCTTTGGACCTATGGCCAGGCAGCTCTTAGCTTCAATCAGCTGAGGTACCTCCTGGCTCAGTCCATCTTTTTGTTGTAGTGGCTTCACCCAGCATGATTCCAGTTCTTTTCACAAGGTGGTCACTTCAGCCTAGAGGCTCTCCAGCTCTTTACCTTTAGCCAAATTGGACTTCAAACCTGGTTGGACCTTAAGTTCTGGAGCTTAGTCAGTTCCTTATGCATCAACAAACACTACTATTTCTCAGTCTCTTTTTCAAGGCTGGGGTGAGCCAGCTTCTGTTCTTGCTGTACATTTGTGCTAAGATCCGGTCTCTGGTGGAGTGCATCTCTTCGAGTTCCTGCAAGGTCTTGACTTTTTGGCTCTCTACAGTGTTCAATTGTACCAGGTGTTCTGCTTTGTTCTTAACTGTAGCAATCTTTTCTTCTAGCTCTCCCCACTCCATTAGGGTTTGGGTTTGTTAGATAGCTGGTAAGAGGACCACTGCTATATTTGTGACTGATAATGCTAAGTCTTTCACTGGGCAGTGAGTCTGCCCATCAGAGAGACTCTTGCATAGACGCCAGCAGGTCCTGTTGCAGCTTCTGGTTACAGAGCTGCAGAGATCTCAGCTCTTTGTTCTTCCTTTGCTGATTTGCCTTGATTTTGGTCCAGCTGTCATTGCAGAGAGCTTCATAGAATCATAGACTATCAGGGTTGGAAGGGACCTCAGGAGGTCATCTAGTCCAACCCCCTGCTCAAAGGAGGACCAATCCCCAGACAGATTTTTGCCCCAGATCCCTAAATGGCCCCCACAAGGATTGAACTCACAACCCAGGGTTTAACAGGCCAATGCTCAAACCACTGAGCTATCCCTTCCCCCCTTCTCTATCTGTAGCTGCTAATCTTCTTGCAGTGTGAGGATATACAGAAGGCCTAAAGGGGAATGGAATATTTTATGTACAAAAAAAGCACTGACAGTAGAAGGAAGCATATTGATAATTACCACCAGCAATACAGTAAACAAATTCTCCCTCTTTTTGGGCACAATCCAGCTCACATTGAAATAAGTGGGGGTCTTTCATTGTTTTCAGAGGAATCAGATCTGTAAAGTTTGTAAAGGTAAAGGTAAAGTTTTCAAAAGTGTCTTAGTAACTTAGGAGCAAAACTCTGATTTTTAAAAGGTGTTTAGGGGACTGTCTCATTGAAAGTCAGTGTGAAAATGCAGCTAAAGAGTCTAAGGGTATGCCTAGACTTTGGTCACAGAGTGTGACTGCATCTTGAGAAGACATACCCGAGCTAGCTTTAATCTAGCTAGCTTGGATACAGGAACAGTGAAGCCGAAGTGGCACGGGCTTCAGCGTGGATTAAACACCCAAGTAATTACCCAGGGTTCAGGGCAGGCTTGTATAGCCTACACTGAAGCTTGTGCTGCGGTGTACCAGTACCCAAACTAGCTAGATTAAAGTTAGCTTGGGTGTGTCTACATGAGATGCAATCACAGCTCAGACTGCGGTGTAGACATAGACATACCCAAAGTGATCTAGGGTATGTCTACACAACATTTTGCAGAGAGCCTCCCAGCCTGGGTTGACACATTCTGTCGATCTGGGCTGGGAAGCTCACTCCAAAATGCTGTGTAGACATACTTTAGGTGCTCCTAAAAAATTTACCCCAGACCTTATGAACAAAGACCCAGATTTATGCTAGTTTAAAAACACCACCTTGTTTTATATTGTTCTTTTGCTTTCTGGGAAGAGAAACTAACTAGGAAAACTTCCCTAATTTTGATTAAAAAGTTGCAGTTAAAAGAAGGGACCAATATGAACTGCAGAAAATCTATGACCCAGAGGCTCGGAAAACTTCTGTGCTTCCCAAATTTGATGCTAGACAGAGGACCAGATTGTACTTCAATTAGACCCTTTTAACCACAGACTAATCTCAAAAGCATCTCATAAGTGTAACTGCAAACTGAATTTGACATCGTGTTTTCATTGTTGTCTCAAGACAGAAAAGAGTATTAGAGAGTGAAATTTGGAACTTCTGTCCAGTGGGAAATTCTAACAGTTCAGCATTTGTTTTTGTTCCAAATTGGGATGAAAAATTGAAATTAGGAATTTTTTCATGTAACAATTCCATGAAATTTTTTTGTCTGTTTCAAAATTTTTGATCAAAATGAAACATTTTGACATCCCCAAATCAAAATGTTTCATTTCAGTTTAGTGAGCTGACTTGAAACACTTTGCTTTGAATCAGTTCAATATTAAAATGCATTTTCCCATAGTGGCACATTGCCTTATGGGAGTTGTAGTTCAGAAGCATGATGCCCCCATTCTCCCTAATGGCCAGACTCCATCTCTCATAATGTACCAATGGTCACAACAGACATGTGACTTCCATGATACCTGGTTAGAGGCAAAAGTCACATTATGCTATGGGACATGTAGTCCTCTAGGGAGCCTGTCCTGTAGGAGAGAATGAGGGCCTGAACTACAACTCCCATGATGCAATGTGCTGATAGAGAATTGCAGTTTAAAATTTTCCAGGTCAGTTCAAAATACAAGTCTCCTGATTCTGATCAAACCAACCCAAAATGAAATATTTCATTTAGATTTTCCCAGCAGAAAATCAAAATTTTTCAGCAAACTTAAATTTCATTTTCTGTAGAACAATCATTCTGATGGAAAATTCCCAACTGGCTCTAATTTTTTATTATTATTATTTATTTGTTGAGACATAGTTTGAAAAAAAGCAATGGAGCTGACTGACCAGATATAGGGCCTGATCCTATAGTTCTTGTGAAGTCAACCCTCCCTTTGGTTACAACTGGAGTTTTGCCTGTGTAAAAGCTACTTGATTTGGCCACGTAATGTAACTGGTATACCATGAACTAAATGCAACCCTGGTGTAACTTTACTGAGATACAGCCAAACCTTTTTACCATACCACATAATTTCTCTTGCTCTCTCTCAGAAAATGACATAGGGATGTTAGTTAACGGGAAAACCCTTTACACTTTTAATGAGCACAGTAGAAGAATATAAATTGGTATATGTATATCCACTGAAATGAAGGATTTGTAGCAAGCCTAAGAGATGACTAAACTTATAAAGGTGGTGATATGCTGAGGGTGAGGACTACATCTTTACAGCACTATACCATAAGCAAAAATCCTTTACGTACAAAAAAAGTCTCTATTTGCATAGACAGAGGTAGAACATAAGCCTTTGTTGAGCAATGGCTTTAGTACACCAAAAGTGTCAGTAGGATGCCAGTGGTGATGAAGTTTCTTGTAGAGAACTGGCGGCTGCTGGACTGCCTCCCCAGAACAGGATGGAATGACACCACACCCAGAATCTGGTTCAGGCTCTTTTCCCCAGGGCTTTAGCTTTATTATTTCTACAGAAAGCTAGCACAGCACAGCAGTCATCCCCACCTCTTACTCCAGAGTTTTCTACAAAGGCCTACTGTTCCCTGCAGGTTTCCACTCTACAGGATACCTGCCTGAGAATTATTCACAAACCCTCCTCTTCCCCCTTACCCCCCAATCCAGGGGCTTCCTGCCAGAGCCTTCTTGCTCCTGGAAGCGCTTGCCTCAGTTCTCCTACCAGCTCTCTGCCTGGGAGTTACCCTGTTCTAGAGACCAAACTGCTTCCTATAGTTTCTCTTTTAGTTTCACAACTGTCTCCCAAATGGCCTACTTGCTGGCTTTCATAATCATCACCTGATCCCCAGCTTTTCAGTCTCAGCTGGGAGGTAGCTGAATCATCATAGATGAGTCTGGGCCCAACACCCCTTAAGGGGTCAGCTGCCCTGTGACAAGGACTATCTTGCTAAACTCATTAAGACATGTAAGGTCTGACATAACTTAGTCACATATTGTAGATTGTTGTAACTTCTCAGATGCGCTGAGCTTTTAACACACTGGTTGTCTGTCACAAACTAGAGTACCTCTAATCCCAGAATCCCTCATCAGGAGGTAGTTATTCAGGATGGCAGAAATTACTGCAAGGAATAATTAAGGAACAATTTTTGTGTTTCTTATCTGAGCAACACTTCCATTGAAGAGGCTCTGGATGTAATGCCTCTGGAAAGATGTGTTTGCAACATGAAGCAAGGTGTAGTTCAGGCTCTCGCTGAGCTCAACTGGAGGAAAAAGGATTTGATTTTTGGTCTTTCCCAAAAGGATAAATCAGAAACTACAAGTTGTGTGGAAAAAGCCAAGAGTGATGAATATGGACAAAAAAAATCTTTTTGGAAATTTTGGTGAGATCTAAATGAAGTTGCCTATCCCCAAAAATCCTTTAAAGAAATTTCCACAAAATCTGCAGAATTTCTGTAAAGAATTTTCTTCTGCTTTTCTATTCTACTTGGTATCATTTTATTGATTCTATTAGAGATCACAATGATATCAAACAGTGATGTATAATTAACTCTCATCAGGGCAGGGAGCCTTGCCTGTACGACTCTTTCCTTATATCTGGAGTACCCTTAGGTACAAATGAATCAATTCTCTTTTTTTCATCCTGTCCAAGGAAACCAGACCAAAACTGTTGAACTGCAGAATGTAATATGTAGAAATAAATAGCTAACATGAAAACCATATCTGTGTTCTCTAGAGAAATCTGACTGGATGTTTCAAATGAGATTGAGAAGAACTGAGACACTCTCAGTGGACTAATTCTGGTAAAAAATTGGGGTCAGGGATATTCCCCTGCAATGCCATGAGACCTCCCTTCACTGCAACACCAAAAAAGGTCCCCACACCTGTTCTCTTCTCTCCATTGCCCTTAAAAAAGGCCCCCAGCACTTACTTACCTTGGCCTCCTACTAGCGGTGCAGTTTTTGACTGGCTCCCATCCTGTGCTGTAGTGTTCAGGCGGCTCATTGCATGCCCACCCTCCTGCTAATGCAGGGGTTCTCAAACTGCGGGTTGGGACCCCTCAGGGGGTCACAAGGTTCTTACATGGGGGGTCGCGAACTGTCAGCCTCCACCCCAAGCCCCGCTTTGCCTCCAGCATCTATAATGGTGTTAAATATATAAAAAGTGTTTTTAATTTATAAGAAGGGGTCATACTCAGAGGCTTTCTATGTGAAAGGGGTCACCAGTACAAAAGTTTGAGAACCACTGTGCTAATGTCATCAGTTTATTTTTTTTCTCTTCCCAACTCCTCTTGATGTACAGTCTTTCTAGCCCCCCCCCCCATTTCCAACAAACTCCTCCAATGTCTTCTCCCCAACTCCTAGGCTCATCTCCATGAATCTCCCCCAGTCTCTCCCATCTTTCTCCCCAGACTCATTCTAACCTTCTCAACTCAAAGCCCCTTATTCTCTCTTCCCCAAACTGCCTCTCACCCCAGGCTCTTTCACCTCCCGCACATCCTTCCAGCTTCTTGTCCCTTTCCCAAAATATCCCTCTTGGTTTCCCCTCTGTCCTCTCCAGTGCCTGTGCACCCCAACAGCTGTCTCCCCTTTGTCCTGGCCCCACACAGGGCTGCCCAGAGGATTCAGGGGGCCTGGGGCAAAGCAATTTCGGGGGCCCCTTCCATAAAAAAAAGTTGCAATACTATAGAATACTATATTCTCATGGGGGGCCCTGTGGGGCCTGGGGCAAATTGCCCCACTTGCCCCCCCCCCCGGGCGGCCCTAGCCCCACATCCCCCTTAGCTGTGTCCCCTGGTTTTGGCCTAAGGGAGGGGAATAGAGGGAGCCACGCCCATTCAGCTCCTCATAGGTGGAGGGGAAGGGCCCATATAAGGACCCTGCCATGCCTGTCCAGCAATGGGAGAAGGGGAGACAGAGAGCCCTCTGTGGGCAGGAGGGTACTATTACAGCTGCCACACAGCCTCAAGTCCTATCTATTAGCTGATGTGGTAATATCTTTTATTCTTAGCTTCTCCTCTCTGTCCTCTCCCCTACACAGCCAGCAAAAATCAGGGGGCAGAGAGGGGGCAAAGGGAATGGCATTGTCAGCCTCCTCCCCCACAGCCTGAAAGTCAAGGGGAGATGTTCCCCTCTGTCATCTCCTATGATTACACCTGTCTATACTGTGTTGCATGCAGTGTTGCAATGGCCTTTGGATCAGTTATCAAAAGCAGCCCAGGGAGTTATAAAATGTGTCCTATAGTTACCCCACCCTGTAGTTGCAAAGTGAGGAAAAAACTGACTAGCTGCAGGTTTTTTCACTCGTTAACTTAAAAATCAAGCAATTTCTATTTTCTGTCAAATAAGATACAGGTACAAGCAAATATTATGGCTGTATGCATATACAATTAAAAATTAAAATCTATGTACATTTATTCCCACCTCTACCACTGACTTGCTGCATAACCTTGGGCAAGTTACTTGGGACCTGATTTTCAGAAGTGCTGAGCGCTCACAGCTCCTGATGATGTCATATTGACATATGACTGCTCAACACCTCTGAAAATATCTACAGCCATTAGCCTCAATATGGCTCAGTTTTTCTATATGTAAAATGGGACAATACCGACTTTTCAGGGATTAATTAATTTGTGTTTGGAAAGTACTATGAATACTGGATTAAAGTAAATGATAAATGAAAAGTATTTATTTATTATATTTATATAGAAATTAGGTATAGCCCTTGTATTACTGGTATGTTGCTAATGTGGCCTTGCTGCTGCAGAGTTTGGGCATCCCTGCTGTATACCTTGCTAAATCTGGATGATTTCAGTAGAGTAGCATGTGATGTTTTTATTTTCACAGGTGTTGGGAGTGGCATGGTTTATCTTCCTGCAGTGGTCATGGTAGGACAGTATTTTCAGAAGAGAAGAGCACTAGCTCAGGGACTTAGTACCACTGGAACAGGGTTTGGAACATTTCTAATGACCGTTTTACTGAAGTATCTGTGTAAGGAATTTGGATGGAGGAATGCAATGTTCATCCAGGGTGCTGTGTCTCTGAACCTGTGTGTCTGTGGAGCGCTCATGAGGCCACTTTCTTCCACGAAGGATGCCAATGAAAAGGGTGTTGAGAGAAACAATAGTGAAGATTATCATGCAAAAGCTCTGTTCCACTCCGCAAAGCCCATAAAATCTAATGGGATATTACATGAAGAGCAAGAGGAAAAAGAAGGGCCAGCTAATGACAAAGTGCTTGATAACGTTCAAGCTATGGAGTGCAAAGGTAAAAGCAGACGTGGAAAGAATTTGTATGCTCTTTGCATTCTTAAGAGAGTGAGCCAGCTGACTGTTACAATCAAGAAGGGGTTTGGAACATGGTATTCCAGCTACTTTGGGGCTGCATCACTTTTTACCAATAGAGTATTTGTGGCTTTTGTGTTTTGGGCATTGTTTGCATATAGCAGCTTTGTTATTCCTTTTATTCATCTTCCAGAAATTGTCAAACAGTATAATTTATCCACACAGAATGATGTGTTTCCTTTGACCTCGATTATAGCCATAATTCATATATTTGGTAAGGTGATCCTTGGAATTATCTCTGATTTACCCTGCATCAGTACTTGGAATGTCTTCCTGATAGCTAACTTCACTCTTGTCATCTGTATTCTTATTCTGCCATTAATGCATACATATATTGGCCTGGCAATGGTTTGTGCCCTAATAGGATTTTCCAGTGGGTATTTTTCTCTAATGCCTGTTGTGACTGAAGATTTAGTGGGGATAGAGCACCTTGCAAATGCTTACGGCATCATCATTTGTGCCAATGGGATATCTGCACTGCTAGGACCACCGTTTGCAGGTAAATAGTTCAAGTTTCAAATCAACATACATCTGTGACTATATCTGAATTATTATATATTTGTGATATTATAATAATGTGGATAACAAAATTACAGCCGCTCCGGCTTTGATTAGTGTCCCATTTTACATGTATGTGTTTACAGAATACATTCCGCACCCTCAGTACAAACTGCCATCCTTGCAAGTCATTCTAGCTCTGTTACAAACTGTCATTTTTATGGTACATTGTTTAATATAATTGTATATACAAATTTTCTAGCATAGAAAGGGTTAACATATTTACTCCTGTGTTTTGTGTATCACAGTTTACACCTGCAGCGTGCATATTTCCAGATGAGAAATCTGCTGTAGTAGGGGTTGCCACTGTCTATCACGGGAGGGAGATTTCATCGGGGGGGAGCACAGACTGGTTTGTACCATCAACTTCTATGGTGGGTCCACAAGGTAGATTTAAATTGTGTTTGTGCTCCAGCAGCATAGGCTGCCCAATGGATGTGCTGATAGAGCTCATCAACAGCTGCCTTGGCTTTGCCCAATTATCAGACAACACTGACCAATTTGGGGACTGTACTGCATGCTGCTCCCTCGCTCCTGGGAGAAGTGAAGTTGCAGGCATTGCTACAGCTCTCCTCAAATGAACTTGGAGGGAATCAAGCCCCTTCATTGTAAGTTATCCAGTACAAATGAATGTGGAGTCGGGTGACAAAAATACTCCCTAAAAATAATATTTTGGCCCAGACTGTGACTGTCTTTTTTGGATGCATGAGTCAGAAGAAAGCAATAAGGTGCAATGGGTCATCTTCAGTCGGGGATAGCATGGACACTGAACTGGGCTAGAGCCACCACCAGCATTGGGAGAGCTGTAGTCTCTCTCTCTTCCTCTGTACCTGTCAGCAGTGCTGGAATAATGTAGACGAGAGCACATGCTGAATCCTTTCAAAGGGTAGCAAAACTACAACTCTACTGTGCATTCTCCCAAACCCTGTCAGCCAGAATTGAGCCCAGTAAGAGTTAACATGCCCATGTCTCAGGGGAGAATTTGGCCTTTAATAAAAAAAAAAGATACAGTGATTGCTCTAAAACAGCTAGCCCTTCTGCTTTTATATTATGAACCAATGTGGATAACATGGTAACAGGAGTTTATTTTGTGTTTCAAACCTTTTGAAACAATCTGAATGCAGAATTGAATTGCATCAGTCAAGGAATTGAGGTTGACGTATGGGCTGTCACCGTGCTAACCTCATACTTCTTGAGAAAGATCTTAGAAGGAGTTTATCTCTATGTGGGGTCTTAAAAACCTTGTTTTCCTTGAACAAGAAATGTGGACAGCTCATTGAAATGTGCTTGTACAAACAGCAGTTGGAACAGTGTCCTGACTTAACCTGCCTGACACAGATGTGGTATCAAGCATTCCAAAGAGGAAATAGTGAGGCGATAGCTAAGAGTAAGTGAAACAACAGCGGGCTTTAAGTTTCAGTGTTATTTTAGCTCAGACCTGTTAGATGCAGGTTGTGGCAGGTATATAATTTTGGGCCCAGCATTGGTTAGCTTCTGCAAATTTGAGCCCTACTTCATTCTAAACTTTCAGTGGAGAGAATGAAGCTATTTTTAGAGATTGTTCAATATAGAAAACATATTGCATTCCAAGTTTTTAGGTGATCTACCACAATCTTAATATTGTTAAGTAATATTGTTATTTATTACTTGAGCTCAGAACACCAGGATGTGAAGATATACAGAACAAGTTCTTCTATGTTTTCTAAAATATCTCTTTTCAGTAAAACTGCAGCATTTAAAGCCATTTCTCATTGGAACATGTCTGCTAGAAGACTTGCTTGTGTTGATCCTGGGCAGAATTTTAATAATTTAAACTCAATTTCTCCTCTTCTAGAGGCACATGTTCCATAGGAGCCAGCATATCCCCAACACAGGGTGGTGTTAGCCACAAATTTGTATGGCCAGAGCTGCATTGGCAGTTGTTCCATAATTGTCCTTTATGGGGTTTCCTGAGAAGCATCTAATTCAGGCCACTGTCTGTGAGAGGATATGGAGCAGATGGAACACTGATCTAACCTAACAGTACAAATTCTATGTATTGATTCAGTGCATCTCTTCGGAAGTATCTGTTAGCAGCATTCCTATGAGCTCTGGCCACAAACTAAAGCTTCCCCCAGTAGAAGACTTGAGGGAGTTACACAGGGTCACCTGGAGCCCACAGCTCCAACCCTAAAACTTCCAGAATCTCAAGGAATATAAACCCAAATCCCAGTTTATTGACAGTAACAGAGGGAAACAAATTAAAACAAAACAAACAAAAACCAGGCAAATCCCATACCCCGAAACTGGGCTCTTTTGTTAGGCTCTTTACTACAGGCCATTGCTAAACAAGAGCTTGCCCCACACTGATTTCCCCTGACATCTCTCTTAAGCTTAAACTAGTTGCTGAATGGTTGGGCTGTCACGGGGTATGTCAGCTGGGCCAAATAATCCACCATCTACGCCAACTGCCTCATACAACCAATAAAATTGTTGCATGCAAATTAGCTATAGCATAAGGGTGGTGATTGGTTAAATTACCTCTGCTATCACAATGGTCTAGACTCTTGGTATGGCATAGATACATGCCTTGCTGTCACACAGGTGTAATTTGTAAAGTCAAAATGGTTGAGAACTTAAAAATTAGATGGCAACAAAGCACAAATCCCAGTGATGATTGAACCTGCTGGTATTCTAAAGAAAAAGAGCTCTCAACCATGCGTGTAGCTGTTTCCATTGCTTTACACTGACGCAACAGACATTTTAGGCTTCATGGTGACACAGACAATCCAGGAATCTTATTACAAGACTGTTATATAGATAGTGGAGAGGGTTCCTAGCCTGCACACCTGTTAAAGGAATAGCATGCTACCACACTATTTATCTACCCTATTTGTATGAAATCCATCACCACAGTATCAGAAGAAGTCCTTATAGACATTAATATATTTATCTTTATAACACTCCTGTAAAGTAGAGAAGTATTATCCTCATTTTACAGATGAGGAAACTGAGGCACAAAAATAAGGTAACTAGTCCAAGCTCACACACAAAAATCAGAAGTAGAGTCAAAAATTAAACTTAGATCCTCTGGGTCTCAGTCCAGTATCCTAACCACAAGCATTTAACACCCACAAGTTCAATTGCCATTGGTAGTAGGTAGCAGGAAGAGGTAATGTCAGAACCGGCTCTAGGCACCAGCAAACCAAGCATGTGCTTGGGGCAGCACAATTTCAGGGGCGGCATTCCGGTCACCTTTTTTTTTTTTGTGCTCTCGGAGTTTGTTTTATTTTTATTTTTTTGCTTAGGGCGGCAAAAAACCTAGAGCCGGCCCTGGGTAATGTACGACTCCTTGCACCAACTTTTATTAACCTGGCCCCATGATTGACTCACTCAAGAACATAAGACTTGAGTAGTGTAATGTTTTAAATTTACTTTAAATTTTTTTTCTTTTCAATAGTCTTATGATATAATTAGCCAAAATTACATTTTTGCTTTCAATACCAGAGAGTAGTTTCATTACATAAACATTTATTGTGTAACTAGTATTAAATGCGACATATATTACGTAAGGTTATTTTCTTGAAGGTGGGAAATGATATTATTTCCAACATTTGGTCTAAATAATGTACAGATCAAGAGTCTTATTCATGAGACAATTTTTCAAACTATTCCACAGAAACTGTATCTTCCTGTGGGAACAGTGACAGTACTTTGCATGTTATAGAGCATTTCATCAGAAGATTTGACTATGTTTTACAAATATTAATTAGTTATCACAGCTACCCAGTGATTTGGGTAAGTATTTTATACCCATTTTACATTTGGGTAAACTAAGCCACAGAAGAATTTATTGAATGCACAAGATCACACAATGAGTCAATGGCACAACTGGGAATAGGACCCAGGACTCTTCTTTAACTATTAGACAATACTCTCTCCTTTGGAAAATAGAGAAGATGGTGGACTGTACTTTTTCCTCTTTGTCCCAGTAAATTTTATGCTTTGTTAATTCAGCTGTTTTTTCCCTCATGAACAAAGTTAACCTCTTAATTGTGCAATATGCCGGGCATAATTCCAAGCTGAGGAGTAGAGGAAGAGGGGTGCCAGCAGGGAACAGAGCAAACAAAAAGAGAAGAGGAGATACCTATGCAGTGATACATAAGGCAAATTTGTGAAGTCATATTTAAAAGAGATTGTAGAAGTTACAGCAGCCCAAGTAAAAGGGTCACACATTCTGACAACCTACATGTGTGTTTACGCCATAATTAATTAATTCCCATTGAGCTAATTGGGAATTTTATCTGACTGAAGACTACAGGATTGGGCTCTTCATAACTTGGGCTCAATTGTATCTTCAATCAATCATATGCAACACCCAGGGCCGGCTCTACTGTTTTTGCTGCCCCAAGCAGCGCGCCGAATTGCCGCCGCCGACGGTGGGGGCAGTCCGTGTGCCGTTAGGGCGGCACGCGCGTTTCCGCAGCGGCAGCAATTCGGTGGCAGCTTCTGTCTTCAGCCAGAAAACAGAAGCCACCGAATTGCCGCCTTGGGCAGCTGAACATAGAAGCTGCTGCCGAATTGCCGCCGCGGCGGAAACGTGCGTGCCGCCCTAACGGCACACAGACTGCCCCTGCCGTCCGCGGCGGCAATTTGGCGCGCTGCTTGGGGCGGCAAAAACACAGGGACTGCCGCCCCTTGCAGTTTGCCACCCCAAGCACCTGCTTGGAATGCTGGTGCCCGGAGCCGGCCCTGGCAACACCAATTAGAACGAATTCTATGGTCCTTGTTAAGACAAAACTCCCATAAACTTCAAAGGGAGTTCCATCTATGCAATGACTGTCGGATTGGGCCTATTGACTTCACCGGGAATTTTATGCATGTATTCAAGTGCCTATGTTGGCCCTCTGTATTTAGTACCAACTCCATCACCTACAAAATCACATACATATACCGTAGCTGGGGTAAGTAAAATAAACTGGGTAAAATTCACCCTGTGCACAGTGCTGGCGTGAGTCCTACGTGTAAGTTAAACCTTCATGCTTCCCTTTGCACAGAGGTGAATTTCACCCACAGAGTTTTTCTGGACTACTGAATTAGCAGTCCTGACAGAATAGATTTTTTTCCATTTAAAATTATTTCCTTCACCTTTTCTTTATTATAATCAGAATTTTAAAAAACAACATGCAGAAGTGGCAGGGACAATAAGGGTCAGAGAAAGAAGAACAATTAAATAGGGTTAGCCAAGCCAGCCCCCTTTGTACTCAGAGGGACGTTAGAAGCAATTTGCTTTATTCCTATCTCTAGCTTCTGGTATAGGATTTATATTTGTTGTTTGGGCTGGAGTTGATGAAGATTGGAGAAACAGAAGCATTCAGAATTTGGTGATCTAGCTTTGCTATTGGGATTTATGTACCAAACAAGGATCAAAATCATACATGAAAGAAATCTGAATAAAACAGAAGGTTTGAGTTACAGACTTTAGCAAATGAACAGTGTAGGGTCTTCAGATACATGTATCACACATCCAGAGACTTATGGGAGCCTAGGACTAATTTAGTCTACCGGAGTTTTGAATTTTTGAGTCATTCACTATCTGTGACTTGTTCTAGAGCTTGGATGGAGGACTGAAAACATCTCCACTTACTATTTACATAGTTAGGATGGTATAGCAGATTGAATAGGAGTCTGGGAGCCAGGAGCTCCTAAAGTCTAATACCACCTGTGCAACTCACTCACTGTATGGCTTGGGGTAATTACTTACTATGTAAGTTTCCCATCTGTAAACTGGGATAGTAATACTGATCTTTCAATATACGGCCTGATTCTCCACTGCCCTGTACCTTGTATAACCATTTATACCTGTGCAAATGTGAATGTAAAACAGTCATTCTGATTTAGCAGCATTTTACATCGATTTTCCACAGGTGTAAATGACTATACCAGGTGCAAAATAGTGGAAAATCAAGCCTGTAAAGTGCTTTGTAAATGTTAAATATTAAATTAAATACTAAATATCAGTCGAGTCAGATCCTTACCGTAAATCAGTGTAGCTCCACTGAAGTCAATGAAACTATGCTGATTTACACCAGCTGAGGATCAGGGTGTTCCCCAATGCCTCTGTAGTACAACAACATGTTTTTAAGTTTACTTACAGTTAACACATTCATTGACAAAACTGATCTTTTCACAGTTTGCTATTCTTTATTCCAAGAAAGGAGACTGGATACAGTTATTATTAGTAGTAGTAATTTGATGACATTTTTCTAGTTATGTGAAAACATTGGCAAAAACAAGATTGGATTAAGGCAGAAAGATTCCAAGTGGAGGGGCCTATGTTTATAGAAAGAATCTATAAACATAGGCCCCTCCACTTGGAACCTTCCTGCCAGACTTCTAAGATGGACCCTTGTTTTCACTCACACCTGAGTCCTGGCTCTTTCTGGTAAGTAGGTAGCCCAGTCCAAACTCCCATTCAACCTTGTGCTGCATCACAGCCTGATGCTCTCCCTCTGAGACACTCGTGTTTTCTGGCCCTGGATCCCAAGGATTCTGCCTTAAGCTTCCCCGGCCAAAATGTTTTGAAAGTTCTAACTCCCTATACCTCACTTCAGACTGGGAGTGAAATTCTCCCTTATGGAGAGGACCATCAAAAGGCCTGTGCATATCCGAAACCCCAATTTTGAGGATTTAAATGGGATATAAGTGATGCATAGGCCATGGGTTGGCTTTCTGCATAGGACTGAATAAACCACTGTTTTTTGTTAGTTCATGTCTATTTTTATTGTCTAGCGATGGAGACAATTTCCTCTTTTTTTTTTTTTTTTTTTTAAGAAAAAATTCGTGACTTGAATGAAGTGTCACATAATAGGATGCATTCATGAGATTAATATGCAGTGGTTTTTTTTAACATTCCTGTTTTATGCTTCTCTCATATGCTCTCTACTGAAAACTATCTTGTCCTTGTTTTGCAGGTTGGATCTATGACATCACACAAAAATATGATTTTTCTTTTTACATATGCGGTTTGCTTTACATGGTAGGAATAATCGTTTTACTCATCCAACCTTGTATTCAAAAGAAACAATCAAAAGATCAACCCACTGATAACACAAAAGTATAGTTCAATTTATGGAATGTTTTGAAAAGTATGTGTTAGGTTCATGTCTCTGTTATATAGCAGTACAAAATTGTTATTCTTATAAGACCAACTGCATTGAAGAGTATCACAGTGAATAATGAATGAGCTGCAAAGTGCTGATATTAAATAATTAGTGGAAATGTGCTTGTAAAAGCAAGTTTACTGTCACACTTACGATTCTTGGCTTTAGAACTGTCTCTTTAACAAATACAGATGTTAAGAGCTTTCCAGATGCAATATCACTATTTTTATATTTGGTCAGTGGTTGAAACATTAGTTTTGATTCTTAACTCATGTACAACAGTTTTACACTGATGAAACTATTGACTGCAGTGCAGTTACTGCTGATTTACACTGGTGTGAGAGAAGAATCAGGCCTCACATGAATACTTTCCTACTCTATAGTCCAGCTGATCAGAAATTTATTGTTGAGCACAAGAAAATGGTTACATTTCTCATCCAGCTACACACGTGTGTCACTACAATACTAATAATAATTCAAGGATACACATAATTTAATATATTTAAAAGAATGTTTCTGTGATATAAAATTGAAAATTTCTTATATTTTTCTGAAAGCACTCTCCAGTCCAAGGAACTCTTTTTGATGTTTTGATTGCAGAACAAATGATCCATTCTCACCTCATACGAGAAATGATAAATGAGATACTTAAATATATTCTGATACCAAACAGCACTGAAGTAAAACAAACAAAACAACAAAAACTGGGGAAGGATGGGGAATATTAATGGGGTTCTGCAGCAGAAAGGATAGGCAGCAAAACTAGATGATTTATTGCAAGAGTCTATTAGAAAAGTTAATACATTCAGGTAGAGTTTATGGGCCTCCCAATTCTGATCTCAATGCAGCCAGAGTCAACTTCAGTAGTTACTCCTGATTTACACTGGTGCAACTGAGAACAAAACCTGGGCCTTCCTATGATTCTAATTTTGTTTGCATTAGTTTTACACCTGTAACTACATTGGGTCAGACCCAATATATATTGGCATAGCTCCATTGACATCAGTGGAGTTATTCCTGATTTACATCAGTGTGAGATCAAAATCAGGTCCTGTGTGCTTAGAGCAAGGCTTTGGAAGACTGAACTTTGCCCTACTCTGGTTGCATTTTATTACCATACAGAAAAGGCAGGTCTACACTACGGGGGAAAGTTGATCTAAGCGCTGCAATTTGAGTTATGTTAGTAGCGTAACTCAAGTCGAGGTAGCTTAGATCTACTTATCGCAGGGTCCACACTAGGCTGTGTCAATGGGAGATGCTCTCCCATCAACTCCCCTTACTCTTCTCGTTACGGTGCAGTACCGGAGTCGACGGGAGAGCGATCTGCAGTCAATTTAACGGGTCTTCACTAGACCCGCTAAATCGACCCCTGGTGGCTCGATCGCTGCAGCGTCGATCCACTGGTAAGTGGAGACAAGCCCAAAGAATTTTCCTATGTGCAGAACAACCCATTTAATAACTTTCTCTAGCTGATTTGTTGTAAGGGATGTCTGAGATCTGAGACAGCTACCAATATTCTGTTATGGCATGTCCAATTTCCTAAGCCTGATACTTTGCAGGTGAAACATCTTACCAAGGATTTTTCAGAGTGGAGGATGCTTCCAGAAAAAGTTTGAAGTTACTGGCTACCTTACTTGTTTACACAGTTTACAATTGTAAAACATTTGTATTGCAATCCTTCCTCAGTAATTCATTGTTTAACCTAAATAACCAATTTCTCAGGGATAGAACTTGAGAACATTGGGTGAAGCTGGCCAAAAGTATGTATTTAGTTTTAGAAACAGTTGCATGGAAGACAGCATATGATATTTTATTGAAATTTATTTCAACACAAAAGTTATTAAATTACGACTAATTGTGTTGCAATGTAAGAGCACAACATTAACTACGTAAAACTGATCATATATTTTCAGTGCTGTTTTTACTTGCTGTAAAATTAGCTATGTAATGCAAACCATGGAAAAGATAAGTGTTTTAACTATTTAAGTGCATTGCCTTGTTTTTTTGACAATATTAAATAACAGAGGGACAATACAGAATGTTTGTATGGTGCTACATTAATATTTCCCATGCTTTGAGAGGCACAACTTGTGATGTAGTGCCTATATTAACTACAAAATGTCGTTTTATTTTCTGGGTTTAAGCTTTATAAAGGTTATTTTTGTCATAAATGAGGTTTCTGCTTTAATATTGATGTATGCTGCTGGAATTTATTGAAAACAATTTGTGGTATCCAAATAAACAGAACAAATAAGGGGAAGTTATGAGACCAACATCAATTCTTTAAGTGCAGGTTCAATGTCTTGTTTAGTGGGAATGCTGCTGATAGTTTATTTTAATCAAAGTGACTTATTTTGTTGGGTGACTATATATATGGAAATGGTGATCTTCCATCAATTTCCTTCTTTTTTTAAAAAAGATATGTGTCTTTTATACTTCAAACTTCACTTTTCCATTTGTCCAATTGTTTTTATTTCCACATGACCGTAATGAATTAAATGTTGTTCTTTTAAGATATCTGCATATGTCTTTCTATAGAGTATCTTTTTCTTTTTGGTATAACTGGATCATGTAATGAGAATAAACTTTATATTATAAAATATTTCAAGATTTTTTCCTTTTTTAACTATGCACTTTTTCATTTTAAAAGTAAAGATACTCCTGCAAAGTAAGGGCTAAATGATTCTCCTCACCTCTGCAGAGGTGACAGAAACCTGGTTGATCCAGGAAGTGGGGAGATGGCCATTCTTGGCATCATCTCCCCCTCAATCCAGCATAATTACCAATTTAAATGAACGTTGAATTTAGGTGGCTTCTCCTTTCATAATCTGAAACCCCCCCCCCCCCCCCCCCCCCCAGCAGATTCTGGGAGCAGAAACTGCCAAGGAAATCCAGGGAAATCTAAATCCATTGGCACTAAGCTTTCATGAAGATGAGGAAAGAAGCTCCATTGTCGAGTAGCTATGCTCATGCACTGCAGTTCTTTATAAATTCCTTTTTTATTTTAGAGTTGCCCTATGAGTGTTTTATTCTCCAAGGACAGGAATCTTGTAAATATAGTATCTTTAAATAAAATCACGTAAGCCCTGATCCTACAAATTTATGGACACAATGAATTTATAAATGTAAGTAGTCCCAGTGACTTAAAGTGGACCACTCACATGGATAAAGTTAAGAATGTGCTTCAGTGTTTGAAAGGTTCAGGGCCTTCTTCCTAATGCGCTTTACTGTTAGCAAAATATTTAGGCGATATCTGTATATAATTCCAGTGCAAAGTAAATTTACTCAGATTAGCACATTTCTTCTAAAATTTGAAATACTACTAGAATGACATTCAGAAAAAAATATGAAATAAGAGAAAATATATTTTAGACTATCTGAATAAATCACTTTGTAGAATCTACACTTTTATTTCTTAATTACCAGTTTACAGTAGATTTACAAACTGCATTTTTAATACTTGACTTTAAACCAGTTTTTAAAAATAACAGGCCAGATCCTCAGCATTGAAGTCAATGGAGCTACACAGATTTGCACCACTTGAGAATCTGGCCCAAAGAGAATACGGCATTTGTTCTAAAGTAAATAATAATATAACAAAAGTAACTAAAGATTGTTAAAAAAAGGTAAAATATTCCTCTGGCAAACTGTTGGCAAGTAAATAGCTTTATAGCATGAATATGGTCACATTTATCTATAAGCTCCAAGGGTATACCATACATTTCATGTTTCACAAAGATTAGAAAAACTTCCATAGAATATATATTTAATACCATTTCACTTTGAATGGTGACCTTGGAGAAGGGGGAAAATGGTGAAAAATTGGCACTAGATATAAAGAATAACAACTTATTTTATATTTAATATAATGATAATACAAGGCTTCATCAATAAAGAATAACACACCACCCTGTAAAATTAGAGAAGTTAAAGATCAAAACTTGTCTAACTGCCTTTCATGCTATTGTAATTAGCGCCTTTTACACTTAGTTTGATCATTTACCAGTGCGTCAGTCACTCTGATGGCCATACTCAGATTATTGTATAAATTGTTAGTGGCATTTGGTCAGGATTAAGTTCCTTATATCTATACTTACTATAACCAAAATATACATGGCTCTACTAAAACATTTCAAATAATCAGCTACATATTTAAGGGCCCAATCCCAGTAACCCTCTCTCACAAGCGTAGTCCTTAGTCATACAATAAGACAACAATAAGTAAATCTTGGTTTCAATAAGAATACTTTTGTGAATAAGGACCATTTGCATTATAAAAGTTTGTGTTGTAAATAAACTAGGTCACCTTGAGAATTTTGGCTTTACTTGGGAGCCTAAAGCTAATCACCTAAATCCATATTTAGGCACCTAAACAAAATGACCTGATTTTCAGAGGTACTGACACTATGAACTCACATCAGCATCAGCTCAACACATAAAATAAATCAGGCCACTTTTTAGTGAATTCAGGTGACTAACTTTAGGCATTCCAGTGCAACCATATTGGCCTTAATTTTTTGTGATGTTATCATTAGTACAGTGCCAAATCCTGCAGGCCTTACTTAGGAAGACTCTAACTGAAGTTTGTGGGAGTTTAGCTGAGTAAATCATGTAGCTTTTAGGCCATTATATGGAAAAAATGCAAGCATTGGTATTAATGCTCAATATTTAAACCTAGTCAATAACACATGGTAGACATTAATTAATAATTTAAGGCTATTAATACTTGACCTCTGGATTGTTGACGTTAATGTTGTAATTAACAACAATTAAGATGAAATTCTAAGCTATGTAAAATATTTTCTTAATGGATTTGTCAGCTCTGTTTGGTAGGAAGATTATTGATGTGCTACAATGCAAAGAGCCAATAGTAAATATTATTTTATAATTGAAAATATACTTAAGTGAATGTAGACCTCATCAAAGGTACCAGAGTCACAACACTGGCAACTCTAGTCCATTATCATCAAAATTTCCTGCACAGGCAGAAGCAGTGAAAATTTCACCCATATACCATCCTTCCAGTGTTCCCAAACCATGACCTGAAGCAGCTGTCTAAAAGGAAGAGGGTAGTTTGGTATACATACCCATTCAGTTCTTGGTCTCTAATGATGTTTCCCCTTAATGACAGAGTGCTGATTTGCTTATTTGTTTGAAGTTTAGACATCTAGACTACAGAGGATGTTCACTAATTTTAAAACTACTTTAATGCAGGTCAAATTTTGGACCCCAGATACACATTGGTCACCTTTTAACATTTCACATTTGCCATGGTGGCCAGTAAACAGTCAGCATTTACCAATGGTTTCTACACAATAAGAACTGACATACCACATTTCTCCCTATTTCTTAGGAAATAACTGTGGCAACATTATGATATCTGTTGTCAAATGCTGACTGTTTGAATGGTAACCACTGTATATGTAAACTTATTATATCTCAGAGTCAAGAAGTTCAAAGGAGCTTGAATCTTTTCTATTGCTGGTGGTAGCTGGGAGCCTGATTAATAAAATTTCAGTCTATAAAAGGTAATGTTGTTTATGTATTGCTTCCATTATGCTTTACGTCTACTGTTTTAATAGCCTAATTTTTTTCAGTAAAAGTAATCAATTATAATGTAATATACAAGTCCGCACTTACAACTTTTGCCCATAATGAAAAAGCATGCTGCTTTATTTAGTCTTTGATTTCTTTGAATCATCTTGTTTCTGCCTCCTTCTTCGGAGCTGCAGCTGAAGCTGAAGCTTGTTTGTGAAGAAGAACTGCTTCCAACCCACTTCCTGTGCCAGTGCTCTCATTTCAGGGGTAATTGCACCATACAAATTCTGCACAATTTTCTCCCACAGTGTGTCAGAGTTGCATATCTATTTATAAGAGAAAGTAGGCAGGGTTATTCTGGTTTAAACAAACATAACCAGACATATTCAATGTTTACTGACCATTTGGTTTGCAAAAACCCAGCATAGGGCAACACAGCTCATTGTATATTAAGTTAGCTTTATATATAAGAATGAGATCTTTTGGGAAAAAAATCCTACAGACCATTTTTAGGTAAACTTACAATAACTTCAGTACCAGTTTTGCCCTAGTAAGGACTGAGTCCAGGTTGTAGGATTTGACCCTTGTTATGTGTCTTTGTTGGTCTTGTACATGGTATTATATATTCTGTAAATTATTGTCATGGTTTTTTTCAGTATAATGAGTTCAAAAATATTTTCTCCATCTGGTGCACCCAATCT